GGAATACTCACAAGCCAAACTCAGGAAAGGCTTCCTGAAGAAGGTAGGATTTTGGCTGGTATTTGAAAGAAGCTGCCCATGCGAGGAGATCCAAATGACCGGGAGACAAAAGCAGGCCTGAATGACAGAGTAGATGAAATGCCCTGCAAAGTGGTAGGTGGAGGACTCTCCTTAAGGAAGAGTCAGGGAGTGAATCTCCCTGCATTTTAGAAGATGGGAAGTGAAAGGCCTATAAAGACTGCAAAAAGAGAAGGAGGTGCAACTTACTCCACTTAGCAACATCTTGGAATGCCACCCTCAAGATTTTCAATATGATCCAGGACTTAGGTACTCACTATGCAGCCACTGGGAAGATGTCCACAATCAATGTTTCTTGCTTGTCCATTCTGGGCCAGATACTGGGACAAATAGGACCTTCCTCCCATTCTCAAGACAGCTCTGTGACCTACCTGGCTAGGATCATTCCTAATTTTTCAGATGGAGACACTGATTCCCACAGACATCTAGAAAGTGTCTCAGGCTGCATTGTAAAACATGTCTTCCTGATGCTAGGCCCACCACTCTAGCCACTTAGCCATCTAGCTTATGTTAGGCAGAGAAAATGGTTTAATTTATTTCTGAGTGCTTGCTTCTCTTCCTTCCTTCCTTCCTTCCTTCCTTCCTTCCTTCCTTCCTTCCTTCCTTCCTTCCTTCCTTCCTTCCTTCCTTCCTTCCTTCCTTCCTAACTTCTCATTGAGGAATGAGTGGAGGTAGGGGTTTCTCCTCAGCTTGGAATCCTCTTAGGGATATGGTGCCAATGTGTAACATGAAGTGGGTGAGTGGATGGGACTTTTGGTAGTGGTAAAGTGTTTTCCCTTGACCTGATAGTTCTGAAATTTGGCCATAATATTCCTTGAGGTTTTTATTTTTGCATCTCTTTCCTGAGGTGGTCGGTAGATTCTTTCAATGCCTGTTATACCCTCTGGTTCCAGGACATTAGGGCAGTTTTCCTTGATAATTTTTTGGAAGATACTGCCCAGGTCCTCGTTTTGATTACGGCTTTCAGGTAGTCCAATGATTTTGATATTGTCTCTCCTGGATCTATTTTCCAGGTCAGTTGTTTTTCCAATGAACTATGGTATATAAATGTAATGGAATGCTATTGTGCAATAAGAAATTATGAGTAGGCAGATTTCAGAAAAACCTGGAAAGACTTGTACAAACTGATGCAAAATGAATTGAGCAGAACCAGGAAAATATTGTATACATTATATCAGCAACACTGTGTAATGATCAGCTATGAATGACTTAGCTCTTCTCAGCAACATAATAATCCAAGACAAGTAAAAAGGACTTTGAAGGAAAATGTTATCCATATCTAGATAGGACTGCACCCCAAAGAGTCCAGGGCTTTAGTAGAGACAAATTTCTAGAGACAATGATTTGTCCTCAAAAGTCAAAAGGGTCAGGTGAAGCCAATGAAAAGGTAGCTTGGGCAACCAGGGGTCCTAGAGAGATGATTGATGTGGTGGTGGGTCAAGGGAGGGGAGATGAGAAGAGAGGTGAGACATGACCGTGGCGTCCTGATTAGCCTGAAGGAAGGGAACTTAGCAGTTAGGTGAGTAAGAAGTGATGATGGCAACTCCTTATTGGCTCAGCCCATAGCTTTGTCCAGTTGAGAACCCAGCTCCAAGGAAAACTTTGAGGCAAATCCTACATTTCAGCGACTGTGCCCCAGCCCTCACACTATTTGATTCTCTACAAATTGCTTCCTCTTGGCAAAGCCCCATTCATTTTGAGCCTAAGAGCTAAGCTGAGCCACGTTTATCAGATCATGTAGAAGAAGATAGAGAGGAGGAAGAAGAGGGGGAGAAAAAAAAGGTAGGAGAAGGAGAAGGACAACAAGACAACATAAAGATAGAAGGTAAAAAGCTATGTATAGTACAGCAAGCAGGCCAGTTTGGCAAGGCTTTATATTAATTGGGGGACTGATATGCATTAGCCTAGAAAAGTAGGCTGATTTCCCCAATTTTTCTCAGATGTTGATATAATTTTATGTTATATTTTCTCAGATACCTTTTGTTTGTTTGTAATGGGGGTGACCCTTGAAAGTTCCCTTATTTAAAGCAAAAGCCTACTTCAGGATTCTGAGCAAGCAGTTCTGAGTCAGCAGTTACTCATATGCACATGATAGGCTATAGAACTTTGGAATTAATATAGGAAGTAGTCTTTTATTGTGTTTCAGTGATTCATTTGCATATGAAAAATCAGAGAGCTTTGAAGTGAACTGAGGAAACGTGGACAGCAGAAATGTCTTATGATTAGTAGATAAATGTATATTATGTGAGTATGAGAAAGTGACAGAAGATGAGAAATTGGCTACTGACTAAGATTAGTAGATAAATGTATATTGTCTGAGTATGACAAAGTGACAGAAGATGAGAAATTGGTTACTGACTAAGATAAGGCAAATTCTTTTGAAAAGAGAACCTTAGCTAATAAACCAAAAAGACAAAAAAGAAAAGATTTCAGAGCTATGTGAAAAAGAAGCTGTAGTTTTCTTTCTGCACTGTCACCTGTTTCAAAGCAGACTGTGTTGGCCAAAGAGAGACTGAAGTTCTCTCTTTAATACTACCTATTGCTGAAAAAAAGCTGTGGAGAGGATCTGTTTTGCTCTCTGTTGCTACCTATTGATGAGAAAAAGAGAGGACAGATGATGCTTCTCTGTGTGGCCACCTGTTGTAGATAAGAAATGGTGAAGAAGAATCCTGCAAAGAACAGTGCTGGAGAGACTTCTGCTGAACTTAGGATAAATGTCTGCCTAAACAAATAATACCATTTAATCTGAAAGTATCAACTAAGCCTATAGAATAAGCACTAGTGGATCAACTCATCCATTTGTAACACTGTATACAGTGATGTATTGATCAGGCATACCATGTATCGTGCTGTGTATTATTTTAAATCTGGCACAGAATGTAAGCTAAGTTTAAAAATGAAATCATTTGCTCATGAAGAAGCTGTACTCATCAGAGAACTTTAATGGGTAATTTCGGGGACAGGAGATAGAAAAATTCAAGAGCTGTGAGTTTCACTGACCATATATATTCCTCTATATGTGTGCCTTATTACCCTGAGACTTTAAGCACGTGCATGTTTTCCCCCTGTCAACAAGAATTTATTAAGCACTTAATATATTCTGGGAACTATCTTAAGCACTGAGGATACAGAAAAAGATAAAATCATGTTGCTTGTCCTCAAGGAGCTCACAATTAAATGGAAGAGACCATATGCAAACTATGTACGTACAAATGTAAATAGTACATGGAAATCGATCTCAAATGAAAGATACTAGTGGTAGGTTGCACCAGGAAAGGCCTCCTGCAGACGTTAGAATATAGCTGATTCTTGAAGGAAGCCAGAGAAATCAGTAGGTGGAGGTGAGGTGGAAAAGCTCCCCAGGAATGGAGGACAGCCAATTAAAAGGCACAGAGTCAAGAGATAGAGTATAAAGTACAAGAAACAGCAAGCAAGCTGTTTTGTATTGCTGGACTGTAGAATATGTGGAAGTGAATAAAATGTAATAATATGGAAAAGATAGGGTGGGGTAAGGTTATTTGTGCTTCGTTGGGCTAGTGTGATCAAAGTTCATGGTCAGAATATTATGAAAATATTCTGTTTGCCTTGCATTTTTGGTAAATGTTTTTATTAAAGTCAATTACTTGTGTGTTATTTGTTAATGGGAAGTACTCCTGTGGGGGCTCATGAGCTACAGAGGTACTATGTAATCTACAAGGTTTATCCCTATGATCCTTCGAATAATGAGTAGTAGTAGTTGCCTTGCCTTTTGGGAAATCCTAACCTGCCTTTGTAGTGGTAGATTGAGGAGAAATGAGCCCATAGAAAGAATGATTGTTCCCTCAGGGGATAGAGAAAAAACTAATGAAGACCAAAAAAAAGGCTTTACCTATAATTAGATTCTTGGTAAAGCCTTAATACAAACATCAATGTGAGATAATGTGAGTCAAATTATGAAGGACTTTAGAAACCAAAGAGAGAAAGTTGTACTGTATCTTAGAGGCCAGGAGAAGATACAAAAACTTCTTGAACAGGTGAGTGACATGGTCAGACCTTTCCTTTAGAAATATCAATTTGGAAGCTGTGTGAAGGATGGTTTGTAGAGGGAACAGATGGAAGCCACAAAACTCATTTAGTGACTGTTGCAATAACCAAGTCAGAAGTTAATGAGTCTGAACTAGAGTGAGAACCTTGTGAGTATCAGATAGATGCCAAAGATGTTATAAATGTAGAAATGTAAGAAAGACTTAACAATTGATTGGATATGAAAGGTGAGAGAGCAGATTAAATCTATGATGAGTTCAGAATTGTGAATCTGGGTGACCAAAAGAATAGTGGTGCCCTGGACAGAAGAAAAAAAAAGGGAAAAGGATAGATATATAGGTAAAGAAAACTAGTTTAGTTTTGAGCATGTTAAATATCATATACCTACAGATGATTTGGAGATATTCATAAGCAATGTGAGACAAATTCAGAAGAGACAAAAGCTGCATCTGTGGATTTGAGAGTCATTTGTATAAAGATAATAGTTGAATCCCTGGAACATGTTGAAATCCCCAAGAGAGTACACAAGAGAAGTGAATAGAAGAGAGCCCAGGACAAAGCCTAGGGGCACTCCCACAGAATGAAGAAAATGAGGATATAGTTTAGAAAACAGGCACTTAAAAGGAAATTAAAAATACTAACTGAAACAGAGAATAAGTAATAGTCTGTGGTGATTATAAACATGACAATGTAAACAATTAGAATCAACTTGAAAACCTCAAAAAGCAGTATTGTTAACCTGTTATTGTGAAAAGAATATATATTTGAGCCCTCCCAAAAAGAAATGGTTAATGAATTCATCATGAAGAATTTAAATAATTAATTCTTTTTTATTTTTTTTCTTCTACAAGCTGATGAATTACAAACTCTCTATTGGTTATTGTCAATATCTTTCCTCCACTTTGATGAAGAATAGAAGCCTGAAAAATGCATGCCTGGATCACAGTTACTTTGGAGATTGTGTAATGAAGCTCTTGTGTGAAGCCTTGGTAAATCAGAATTGTAAACTACATACTCAGGTGAGAACCACAGGTGAAGGATTCCCTGGGCCAAGAGAGGAAAAATTTGGAAGGAAACAGTGGAAACTTTTTATCTGAGGCTGGATCAGTGTGACTCCTAATCTCAATACTTTGATCTCTCCAGTAAAGTATGTGTAATGGATCCTTACACCACAAAACAATTAGAGGAGAACAAGATCAGAGAAATTTCTTAAATAAGAGATTAACAAAAAAGAATTGAATTATTTCAATAACCTATTAGCAGTAAAAATAAATTTCATAAGCCACGAATGAGCTTCCCAGTGAAACTAAACTCCTGGACCAATCGGATACACAAGTAAATTCTATGAATCATTCTAAGAACAATTAATTCCAATAATACCTAAATGTTTTCAGTAACAAGAAAAGGCCCTCTTCCAATCTCTTTCTACAATACAAATAAGGTCTTCATAATTACAACAGGGAGAAACAAGCAGAGAAAGCCATCTAAAGACCATTAACTCTAATGAACATTGACACAAAAATGATAAATAAAATATTATTAACAAGGCTACAATGATATGTTATAAGGTTATACACTATGACCAGTCTACAGGGTTGCTTCAACATAAAGAAGGCTATGAATATAATAAGCCATGTTAATAATACAAATACTAAAAAGCCATATGATAATATTAATAGATGCTGAAAAAAGGCTTTTGACTCAAATAACCCTTTTTTAAAATTAAAAATTCTAGAAATCGTAGGAATCAGTGGACTTTTCTTTAACATAGCAAACTTTCTTTAGATCAAAGAACAAACATTATACACCAATGGAGATTCCTTTCCACTAAGATAAGGGGTAAAACAAAGATGCCAATTATCACCACTACTATTTAACATAGTGCTAGAAATGCTAGCTAGAGCAAGAAAGCAAGAAAAAGAAATAGAATAAGCATAAGTAAAGAGAAAACAAAATTATCCTTTTTTGCAGATGATATGATAGTGTACTTGTAGAACTCTAGAGCGTCAATAAAATTCAATTGAAATAATAACTTCAGCAAAGTTTGCAGGATATAAGATAAAACTCATATAAATTATCATTTCTGTGTATAACCAACAAAATACAGCAGGAAGTGCTAAAAAGAAAATATGTTCAAGTAACTACAGAAGCTGTAAAATATTTGAGAGTATATCTGCCAAGATTCACCATGAGACTCTATGAATCACATTATAAAACATTCTTTGTAGAAATAATGCCAGACCTAAACAATTGCAGAAATATTGGTATTTCTTATAGCACAGGCATGATCAGAAGACGGAAGAATTGGCTGGTAGATTAGGAGATAAGGAAGGGGCAATTTTAAAGGAAAAGGAACTGTTTAGAATGGAATGAATATATCAGAGGATAGTGTTTATGAAGCAATGGGGGCTCTGATTTCCTTTCCAGAAAAAGAAGAAGAGAATCCTGAAGAAATGAATGCATCGTTTAACCTGTGGTTGTATGTGTCCCATGGGTTAGAATGCAACCACCTAACTCATTCCTATGATCTTTTTGCTTTCAATAGCAATGAGAGTTTGAAAATCCTTCACTTGAAGGATATTTTATTTAAGGATGATGGGAAGAAGTTGCCATTTGAGGTCTTGAGAAAAAAGAACTGTCAGCTTGAGACACTAAGGTGAGTCCTCATAACTGTCCTCTCTTAAAAGCATGATTTGAAAGCAGAAAAGTTTAAGAAAGGAACTCCTGAATTCAGCCAGTATAGAATGCCAGATTTTTTTTTTGCTTTTTGGTGAGGCAATTGGGGTTAAGTAACTTGCCCAGGGTCACACAGCTAGTAAGTATTAAGTGTCTGAGGCTGGATTTGAACTCAGGTCCTCCTGACTCCAAGGCCAGAACTCTATTCATTTCTTCACCTAGCTGCCCCTAGAATGCCAAATTTGGCATAGGGTTTTTGTTTATGTTTTTTTTTTTCTGAGTGGATGATGTGGAGATGCATTCAAGTGGATTAATGTTATTTGACTGGCAACTTCTTCAAGATTCTATAAATGTTACCTCAAATCATCTTGTGATACAGTCATGTCCAGGGATGGGTAAGGGATCATTCCATTTTGAAATCTCTCTCTCCAGTATAGAAAGGGCTTTGATATTGAATAATGATAATTTAAATTAAATTGTTTCTGGTGCACTTGTATCTAAAACATACAATAACACCATTTTTTTGTCAGTAGGTCCATGCTGCAAAGAGCTTTAAGTGCCAAAGACAGGTACTTTTATTTCATCCTAGAGGCAATAGGGAGCCAGGGGAGTTTTGGAGTAGTGACACAGGCAGACCTATTTTAGGAACATCTCTGGCAGCAGCCATGGGGAGTATAGATTGGAGAAGTAAGGGACCTGAAGTGTGGAAATGAATTAGGAGGTTATTGCCTGTCCAGGTGAGCAGGAGGATATGAGAGACTGAATTACATTGGGGGTTGTAAAAATAGAGAGCAGGAGATAGATGTGAGAACTCTGTGAAGGTAGAAACATCAAGATTTGGCAACTGATTGCATATGTGAACTGAGAAAAAAACCATAAGAATTTCCTAACTGCATTCTTTCTGTTGCCAGTTATAATCTTCCCATCCTCCTCAAGGAAAGTCGCTAACCCTTCTTTGATCTCGTTTTCTTCCAATACAGCCTATAAAAAACCAACCAACTGACAAAAAAAGGTAACTTTTTTGTCCTTAGGTACAACATAAGGAAAAAAGTTCCTACCTTTCTAATTTTCTGGGTTCACCCAAAGAGCACATGTACTGCTTACATGGGGCAGCTAGGTGGCGCAGTGAATAGGGTGCTGGGCCTGGAGTCAGGAAGAATCATCTCCCTGCATTCAAATCTGGCCTCAGACACTTACTTGGCTGTGTGATCTCGGGCAAGTCACTTCACCCTGCTTGCCTTAGTTCCTTAGCTGTAAGATGAGCTGGAGGAGAAAGTGACGAACTACTTCAGTGTCTTTGCAAAAAAAAAAAAAAATCCCGAGGTCACAAAGAGTTGGAAGGCACTGCTTTACACACATGTTTTGGTCCATAAGCAACTCCTGGTGTGCTAACTACTGAGGATACAGTTTCCTTCAAAACTCAGCTCAAAGCTTCCTACCTAGTCTAGAAACGCTAGTTACAGTAATAAGAGAAGAGTGCAAAATTAGAAGGATACCCTGATGCCTCTGATAACAGAAAGAAGACCAGGTGATTTGTATCTCAGGAAAGAAGTCACAGATCTAGGGCTGAAAGAGTGGGGGAGGAAACAATCATTTATTAAGCACCTTGAAATTCAATTCAGTTAACTTATTAAGCACCTGTCCTGTGGTAGGCATTATGTTAATTCTTTACAAATATTATCTGTGAAAAGACAGGCATCTCAGAGGCCATATAGTCTAATTTCTGTCCTGCATTTCACAGATGAAGAAATTGAAGATTGTAGAGGTTAAGTGACTTGCCTGAGTCGATACTGGTAAAATCTATGGGTGGGATTTCAATTGAGGACCTCAGATTCTAAGTTTCTAGGTCTATGTAGGCTGGAGGCTCAGCTGGAGGAAGGAAAATGCGAATATCTGGACTGGAGTAGGGGCCTTAGTACAACAAGTCTCATCCCCAGGGGGGCCTGGCTTCTCTGATCTGGTGCAGGGAATAGGCCAGGCAGTTAAGAATTGACAGAAAAAGAAACCTGGCCCCTGAGCCCAGTAAGATTCTTCCTCCCCTCTACCTCCTTTGGCCAGTGGTCTAGCCGAAAATCTGAAGGTCCCAGTGCAGTTCCAGTCCTGGCTTTTGCACTCTGAGCTTCAGGGGCATGGCCTAGACCTACTGATGCTTACCCTGGACCACTTCATTTTCACTTTCTCTTCCCCCCTAGTCCCACTTAGTTGGAGGTCGGGCAGCAAAGGGGGCTGTTATGGCCGAGGGTGTCCGCTGCCAACTGGTTAGGCACTTGGAGCACCTGACATCAGAGGAGCTGAAGAAATTCAAGCTGTACCTAGTGGACCATCTCCCCCGGGGCTGCCTGGAGGGGGCCGATCTCACAAAAGTGGCCGATCTCCTGGTCAGTTCTCTTGGGCAGCAGGAGGCCTGGGAGACTGCTCTAAGCACCTGGGAGAAGATGGGCCAGAGGGAGTTGTGGGAGCGAGCCAGGAAGGGTAAGAGGCCTCCTCAGAGCTGGGTCTTCCCCCTCCCACTTGTATGGCCCATCAGGTTCCTTTCTTTTCTTCCTCCTTCCCTTTGTCCTCCCTCCCTCCCTCCCTCCCTCCCTCCCTCTCTTCCTATTTTCTTTCCTTCCTTGGAATCTTCTTCTAGGGCTTCTCCCAGACCAAAATTACCTCATATTTAATCTGTATAGATTTTGTGTTCACAAGTAATTTTCCGATAAAGAATGTTAGTTTCTTCAGGGCAGGCACTATTTCATTTTTATGTTTTTTCCCCTCAGCACCTAGCTCAGTGTTTGACACATCATAGGTACTTAATAAATGCTTACCTAATAATTTTTGACTTTTGACTTCAGAATAAGAGGATCCCATGGGGATACATGACATAGGGCTGAGATAGGGAGGGAGGGTCACCTCTGTGCTTCTTCCCAACAATCAAGATGGGAGGAGTGGAGTTCAGGCACTGTTCCCTGATACTGGAGAGGAAGAATGTCTGGGCCATGAGAAGAGTTTGCTGGTGGCAAGAGAATGTTCAGGAGATGCCAGTAGGTGGGGAAAGAAATTGAAGAGAAAGGGAGATGGTTGATCTAGGAGAATGGAGCTCATGGAAATTTAAGCTGTGGCCTCAGCTGAGGAAGGGAGAAAAAGGGGGTGGGGACCAGAGGAGAAAGGAGTAGATAAAGTGAAATGGGTCAGGCCTTGATTAAGTATTGTATGTCAGTAGAAGGAAAATGTTTCCGAAAGAGCATGATTAGACTGCTGAATTTAAGACAATTCCCTGGAGTCCATGCTAAGTCAGGAACAAGGGTAGAAATTTTTTTTATTAGTGCTAAATAACAAGGAGTCAGTCAGATGGCATGCATAATTGCAAGGATGAGAAAGAATTTTGTACAGTAAACTTTTGCTGTTGAGCCATGACTCTTCCTGATCCCATATGGGGTTTTCTTGGCAAAGATACTGGAATGGTTTGCCATTTTGTTTTCCACTACATGTTACACATGAGGAACTGAGTCAGACAGCATTCAGTGACTTGCCCAGGGTCACATAGCTTCTAAGTGTCTGAGGCCAGTTTTGAACTCAAGAAGATTAGTCTTCTTGACTTCAGGAACAGTGGTCTGTCATTGTGCCACCTAGATACCCCAAACCTTAATGGGTCATTATCAAAAGGTCACCCCATAGACATGCAGAGAGTTCAGGGATGGCCCCTACCCTAACTAAAGCCTGATATTCAGGTACCCTGGATCAGGGAGGAGAGAAGAAAGAGGAGCAAGAATTGTCATTTAAAGTTCTAAAGTGGAGACAACTATGTAGGACCTTTGAAACAGTGGTGTGATATTTGTGACCCCATCTCTCCCTGGGTTTCTAAGACTAGTTCAGCCTTAGCAGGAAGCATTTAGGTCTAAACCACAAGCTCTCTGTGCATTTAAAACTCCTGCAAGAGCTCTGGTGTGTGTTGAGTGGTTTTCCCCACTTAATGTCAGTCTCTAGTTTGAACATCTGAAATCAATCATTAAAAAAGCTAACATTTCATATTTATTCACTTAGAATTCAAAGACAAGAATCAACAGGATAACAAGATTAGGCCAAGCTTCTACTCAGCTGGAAACAAGAGGGCCCCAGATTCTTGCCTTTCCTCCACCTGGGCAATACAGAAGATCCTCCCACTTCCTTCGAGAAATCTTCTGGAGCTCATCAGCCTTCAGAGATCTCTCTCTCCTCCTGAACTCCTAGTTATCTGCATATAGTATACTACACTTTAGTATAGGAGTGCCTGGCACATAGTTTGTGCTTAATAAATGCTTGTTGATTGATTCACTATTTCATCTAGTTAACCTTTCAAAGCTTACAAGTCATATTGCAGTATTTGTGTCAGTCCAGAAGCCTTTTTATTTGGGGAGTTTGTGGTGCTGAGACCCAGCACATTTCATTCCACCTCCTCAGGGCCCAAACTGAAATCTACTCCCTAATGCTGTCCTCCTCCAGCTCCTTTCCTACTTTCAGCTCCCAACTATCTACCTATGCACCAGATGGGTTTCTCATTATCTTCTGTTTTTCTTTCCTACAGAGGATCTCGGATTAGTTCCTGATCCAATTCTTCCAGCCTCCTCAGGTCAGTAATAAATGTTGGCTCAGTACATTTTTTTTCTACCTGTCATCCTGAAGCTCAGATTATCTATTAATGGGGTCTCATCAGTAAAACTTAAGGGGATATGCTGCAGGAGCTTGGGCCGCTTCCCCAATCATTGAGTAAATTAAAGTCTTGTGGGTTCTAGCAGACAATATATCCTAGAAGGGCAAGATGGACAAATACTGGCAATGCCCTTGTTTAGTAACAGGGTGGAATTGTCAGACCCACACTATATTCATGGTAGAAGTAAAAGAGAAGTGCTGGAGTTTATTGATAAGGGAAATGACATGGTCCGATCTGTGCTTTAGCAATGTCACTTTTGTAGTGGTATGATAGATGGAGAGAAGGGAGATATGATATGAGATGCTGACTAATTAGGAAGCTAATGTAGCAGTACAGGAGAGAGAGAGTGGACTCCTAGATCCAGTCACCCTGACCTGGGGCAACTATGTGGCACAGTGGATAGAGCACTGGCCCTGAAGTCAGGGGGACCTGAGTTCAAATCCAGCCTCAGACACATAACACTAACTAGCTGTGTGACCCTGGACAAGTCACTTAACCCTATTGCCTAGCAAAAAACAAACACACAACAACAAAAACAGTGACCCTGACCTAGCTTTTTCCGTGAATAAGATATTCCATCTCCAACCTATTGACATCTTCTCTGGCTGTCCCCCATATCTGGAATACTCTTCCCTCATCATCTCCTCCTACTGGTTTCCCTGGCTGTTTTGAGTACCAACTAAAATACCATCTTTTACACTAAAGTTTTCCTGACACCCCTTAATGCTAGTGCCTTCCCTCTCTTAATTATTTTCTATTAGTTTGTATGTACATCATTTGTCCATATTGGTTGGGTAATTTCCCCGACTGGAGTGTGAGTTCTGTGAGGATTGTTCTTTGCCTCTTTTTGTGTCTTCAGTGCTTAGCATAGTGTCTTACATATACTAGACACTTAATAAATGTTTGTTGGCTAATTAATAAATGTTCTCATCCATATATGTATACTTAAGCATGGACATGAAGTAAACACCCATATATACATAAACCCTGACATGCATGAAAATATACACTTACATCCATATATAGAAGTTCATTCATGGCTTCCCAGAAAGCCATTCCACCTGCTAGACACTTTTTGGGTCATACTATTTTACAAATTTTTGCTCTTGACTCCTATATCATTAGTGTTTACTTTTACTAATCATCAAAATTATACACTTAGTTTAAATCAAAGTTGCTCAAAGTAATGTAGAGTAAGTAGATGAGACAAAAATGTGGCCCTCAGGCTACATGGTGCCCACAACACTCATGAGTATAGCTTGAAATGAATTAAAATGGTACTGGGAAATATTTAAATAAATTTAAAATAATAAAATATAGATAATGTATTTTAAAATTAAGTATAGTAATCCTTATGTATGGATTAGTAGCCCCCATTTCTATTTGTGTTTAACACCATTAATGTAGAGGGAATTTATTCTCCTACAAATCCATATGATCAGTCAGAAGAGTAGAAATGCCTAAGAATTGTATATGGGATACAAATACATTTGATCCCAGCATATGTTTTGAGGGGTAGTTAATATTGCCAGTGCTGAGACCTGAAAGTGTCTTCTGGACATGTCATTGATAGATCTAGTTCTACTCTCTGCCAAATCTTCTCCCTGTTGGGTGACATGTCTCCAAGGCACCTTAGTGAGTGGCACGGTTACACTTTAGCTAGTTTTCAACCCTCCAGATCTCTTTCTGGCTACCTAAGACAGTTTGGTCACCTAATATAGCCTCTAGGGGGTGCAGTGGAGAGGGTGCCAGGAGAGAAGAGAGTCACTGGATGGAAGAGATCATGTGGTTCCTAGTGGTCTTTTCCCTGTACCACCCCTGAGAGTGTCAAAGACAGGATTGAATGTGGATCTCTCTTGACTCCATGCCCAGTGCTATCTTTCTAGAGCTCTTTTTCTCTTCTGTTACTGTTTTACTCTTTCACCTTTAATTGTGTCTCCCCCCCCCAAAAAAAAATCCAGGGTCGGTAAGGGGACAGGAGAAGAGGAGGAGTAACAACACAGTAGTTAGGCTTCAAGATCAGCTATCTCATTCAAGGCCTTGTGGATGATAGAGACTGTAATCAATAGACCACTACCTTAACACCTTGGAGGGAAGATGCCACCAGGAATCTTCTAGGAGAATGCAGAGTACATCCTACTTCATCAGCTGAAAGAAGAATTCTTCCATGCAAAAAGCCTAAGATACATTGGAGACAGATTCAGTCATTACCACTTGGAACACCTGCACTAATTTCCATCTTCCACAAGCCCTGACAACTTACAACTTTTTTTCTGCAATCTAGATATAAATATAGATACATTTAGGTGATAGATACACATATGAGAAATCAGCATAAAAATTATTAAATGCATAGGAGTTGTTGAGAGCTTTGAGAGAGTGAGTGTATAGAGAGAAGCTAAGAGAGATAACCTGAGGGCACACTGACATTTAATAGGAGGCAGAAGGATACTTATCCATTAAAAACTGAGGAGCAGTCTGAGGAGCAGGAAGAAAAACCAAGAGAAAGCAGTGTTTCAGAAGCAAGGGGAAGAGAGATTTTCTAGAATGGAAATGGTGGTTGGAAGTGTCAGAAACTTCAGGGAAGTCAAATATAATTAGGGCTGAGAGAAAAGTTATTACAGCTAGAGGCATAACTTGTACCTACCCATACCTAGCTTCATACTATCCAAATAACAGGGGCATACACATACACATACATACATACATACATACATACATACATACACACATACCAGGAGGGCCAATGTAGGAAAACCTGTCCTATGTCTGATTGCTCCCTAGGGTGGCCTAATGGGTGCTAAGGTTGTGCCATTGGCAGAGAGTTGAAGCTGTCACTTGTCACTCAGGGATTCTGTGGAATGTCAGTCATGAGATCTGTGCCTATGTGCTGGACCTGTCCCAAGACTTTTGTTACTCTTAGAAGTCCATCTGTGATCCTGGTTGGCAGTGGAATTTCATCCCTAGGACAAGGCTATTGGTCTATCCTAGACACTCCCACAAATACAGCTCCCTTTGGTTTCTCTCCTGGCTCTCCCATTATTCCTGCTACACCAAGCCTATTCTCCCCTAGGTAATGATGGCTCCCATGGAACATTCTTTTTGTTGTTGTTTGTCATCAGAGTTTTGTTCTACTTTGTTCACTGATGTCCATGTTAAGATTTACCATGCTCCTTTCTATCACTGGTACTCCATGGCCCCTCCAGACAGAAATAATTGGATGTTTGAGTAATGCCATCTACTGCCACCAGGATAATTGGTTCTGCTCTCCTATGTACCATAGACTTCTATGTAATAGTCATTCATTCCTCCCCTTTAAACATTTCCATTCAAAATATTGTTTTCACTTTAACATGTATTCTGTACTTGTCCCCTAAAATACTATTTCAGTAGTAGATATGGCATAGTGTGAACAATAAGAGACATTGTAGACAGACAACCCTGTACATAGTGGATAAATAAATGGAGTCCCATGAGGCCCTGGTAAGCAGGGGCCCAATGGTAGCTGACCACCTGGAATCTCTATGTAGAGAGGCCTTCATAGAAACCAGTGGTCTAAGCCATACAGGCCCTTCTTATTGATCATATGATAATGGCAGTAATATAATGCACTTTTAGCCTAGATAGTCATTCACTCCACAGAGCAATGCAGGTCTATAGATGCTAGTTCTCCATCTAGCTCTGAATGAAGACATACTGGGTTGCAGAAGACATGAAGGTGACCTTCAAGATGTAATGTACTTTGTAAACTTTCAAATACTATAAACATCAATTGCTGTTATGAATAGTTTAGTGATAATAGTGGAAATGTTAGGAACCAGTATCTTGGAATTTGGCAGGTGGTGAGCATATACATGCATGCATACATAGTGTATGTATATTATGTTCGTATATGTGTGTACATATTTGCATATGCAATCATGCATTACATCCATATATATGCCCTCATATTTTCACACCTTATGCTCTTCCTCATATGACCTTCATGCCTTTGAATCAGGTAGTGGAGATTTGCTGTCAACATCACTTCACTGAGCTAGAGAGTGGTGTAGTATGGTGGAAAAAACATTAGGTTTATAGTCATAAGACTCATTAATGCTGCCTGACTCTTACTTATTTTCTTGAGGCCTCAGTTTCCTTATATGTAAAATGAAGGAGTTAAGACTAGCTGAATTTTTGGCCAGCCTCAAAGAACATTGCTTGAATAGTTGGACAATTGTTACTCCAATTAATAAAAAAAAAATCCTCATTGTTCATACTGGAAATACATGATTTCCTTGCTGTGACCCTCCGTCCATATATGGTTTAGAATGTAATCCTGAGAGTAAGGATTGTTTTGAGCTCTGTATTTATATACTCAGCACCTAGTACAGAGCCTGGCAGGTAGTAGTTGTTTAATAAATGCTTGTTGCTAGATTGATACCAGGTCCATGACAGCTCTAAATGCCATGGGTCTGGGATGGGGGAGAGCTCCTTGGGGAAGGAATGATGCCTGCCATCACTAATAGACGTTGGCAAAGCAATAGTTATAGAAACATCCAGTATAGATTTAGAGGGACCTGGAGAAAGGGACTGGCCTCACATAGCCCAGCATAAAAATAAACACACACCCAAAAGATCTGACTGCACTAAATTGAAGAAACTGTAAAACCTGAAGCCCTGTTCTTTGCCCATCTCAATTCTACAAATAGATATTACAAACCTCCTCTGTGTTAGGCACTAAGATACAAAGACAAAAGGAAAACAATCCCTGTCTTCCAGGCCAAGCCTTTTCACTTACCACTTAGATTATGTTTTGACATTTGCACCAACCCTGCTTCTGATGCCAACATTATCATCTGCTCCTTGTCACCCAGGTCGGGAGGCTGTTTCCTAGTTGCCAGCAGTGACTTGTATGTTTCTAACCCCTTCTTGTTCATATTTAATACAATGTGAAAATATATTCACGTGTACACAGAGATCCATACATGTACACAGCATATCCTCTCCCCCATCTGTGTCTGTCTCTCATACAATCTCACATTACATGATTTAAATGCACTCCTACTTTCACACACTTTTCCTCACACACTCATACATGCATATAATATACATATATATATAAATATGTTTGCATATACATATACCTGGATGTATTCACAGTCATCAAATGTTTTCCTGAATTCTGACCAGACCAGTCTGTAGAACCATGTTTCTATGCCACTAGACCCAGACTACAAGTTGGAGAGGGTTTTGGGTATGTTGGGCAGAGGGGAACAGCAACAACTAGAGAAATACCCTCTTCCCAGCCTCAGCAACCCCAAGACACAGAAGAAAGTCCAAAGCTGCAAATTATATTATAGTGTTTGAGGCAGTCAACAAGCATTTATTTACAGATTTTGTGGGGCTTAGGCCCAGCACCTTTCATTCCAACTCCTCCAGGCACCAACTGAAATCAACTCCTTAATGCTGTCTTGCAGCTTCATTCCTACTCTTAGCACCCAAATACCTACTTATGTAACAGATGACTCTCTCATTGTGTTCTGTTTTTCTTTCCCATAGGGGATCTTGGATCAGTCCTGCCTCAGTTCTTTCAGCCCCCCCAGGTCAGTAACCACTGTCAAAGCCATAGGCTTATGATGCTGTCCAAAAAGTGAGAAGCAGCCACGTGATGTAGTGAATTCCTATCACTGGTGGTTGTTAGGAAGAACTTGGACAAACTCTTGTTGGGGATATTATAGAAATTTCCTACAGTGCTTTGCACACTATAGGCATTAAATCAGTGTGAATTGAAATGAAAATAAGTATCTGCTCCAAATGAAGACTTGATTTGATAACCTCTCAGGGAACTTGGCAAATGCCGTCGTTCTGTGAATAGAGCACAAGGTCCTTGTCACTAAAGAATAAGAAACTATAAAAGGTAGTTAGTGAGGAGATCAAAATGGGTATAACAGACAGGAAATACATAGGAGTTGAGAAATCACATGCCATTGGGATGATCAGAAAAAAGCCTCACAAGGTGGTGGGAACTGTCAAGATTTCAACAGAGCAGAAGAGATAGTTTGTGGTGAGCACAGGACATTCCAATTGCTGACTGCATTGTCACTGACGGTGTCTTATGCCTGGAATTCTCTCCCTCTTCATTGCCATCTTTAGGCTTCCCTGGCTTCCTTAAAGCCTTGGTTAAAATCCCACCTTCTTCAGGAAGCCTTCCCCAGTGTCCTCTGTGTTAGTGCTTTCCTGCTGAGGTTATCTCCATTGCTGTCTTTTTTTTTTTTTAGGCAGTTGGGGTTAAGTGACTTGCCCAGAGTCACACAGCTAGTTAAGTGTCAAGTGTTTGGTCTGAGGCCGGATTTGAACTCAGGTCCTCCTGACTCCAGGGTCGGTGCTCTAGCCACTATGCCACGTAGCTGCCCCTCCATTGCTGTCTTTGTCTTGTTTGTACAACATTGTTTGCATGTTATTTCCCTTGTTAGATCGTGAGCTTCTTGAGGACAGGGCCTCTTTTGTCTTTCTTCATATCACCAGCTCTTAGCAGACTACCTGTAGGTAGTTGACATTGTAATTGGCATGTAGTTGACACTTAACAAACTTTTGTGGAGTTGAATTCTGACTTGAGTGGCTTAACATTAACTAAGCAGTGGAGGGTAGGAAGCTCATGGTGTATTTGGGAAAACTGGGAGAAAGTTACGATAGACAAATAGGAAGGCCTTGAACTGTGGGATGAGCTTAGACTTTATCCTATGGACAAGACAGAGACATTGAAGGCTTCTGATCAGTGCTGTGATGTTGTCAAGGTTGTGTTTCAGAAAGATCAGTTAAGCTGAGGTTCAGGCAGGGTTTGGGGGCTTACCTTGGACACTAGCAGAAATGAGGTGAGGGCAGAGCCAGGGGTAGCACTTCACCTCCATATGGGCTCTGGGAATGATGATGCCCAAACCATTCTCTCAGGGACCTTTCCCAAAGATACTGTAGCAGATTTACTCTTGAACATCTCTGTACTGTGTTTGTTATGACTTTAGATGAAAGAAATAAGTACCAAGAACGAATGAGAAAGAAATTCCAACTCATGAGGGACAGGAACTCTCGTCCTGGGGAGCATGAACTCTTTCACCACCGATTCACGCAGCTGCTGCTTGTTCCAGAGTATCGTTGCAAGGAGCAAAAACAACGTGAACTCCTGGTCCAAAGATACGAACATGCTAAGATCATGGAGGAGCGAGGACAGATTATAGAGGTGTCAGCTTTATTTGATCCTGATAAAAAAACAGGGACCATACCACACACTGTTGTGCTGCAGGGAGGTGCTGGTATTGGGAAGACCACGCTGGCCATCAAAGTGATATTGGAGTGGGCAGAGGGAAAACTCTACCAGGACAGGTTCGACTATGTTTTCTATCTCACTTGCAGAGAATTGAACCATTTAGGAGAGAGAGAATTCAGTTTTGCTTATTTAATTGCCAATGACTGGCCTGGCCCATATGCTCCCATGACGGAGATCTTGTCCCAACCAGAGAGACTTCTGTTCATCATTGATGGTTTAGATGAACTGAAATTCCCTTGTGATGAGCACAGATATGATCTGTGTAAAGATTGGAAGCAGCAGAGGCCAGTACCCATCCTGCTGAGCAGTTTACTAAGGAAAACCATGCTCCCTGAAGCCTCCTTGCTGCTCACTGCAAGACTCACTGCTCTGGGGAAATTTATTCCTTTGTTAGAGAACCCACGTCATGTGGAGATCCTGGGCTTCTCTGCAGAGCATAGGAAGGAGTATTTCTGCAAATTTTTCAGGAATAAGAATTTGGGTAAAAGAGCCTTTAGTTTACTAAAAGGCAATGGTGCACTGTTCACCATGTGCTCTGTTCCTCTGATGGACTGGATTGTCTGCACTTGCCTGAAACAACAGATGGAGAAAGGACGAGGTCTCATTCAGGCTTTGAAAACTACTACTGCCCTATATGTGTGTTATATCAGTTTAATCACACCTAATGACAAGAACTTCATATCTCAGCATTTGAGGGGCCTTTGTCGATTGGCTGCTGAGGGGTTCTGGGGGAGGAAAATGCTGTTTGAGGAGGAGGACCTGAGGAGGCATAACTTAGAGGCAGCTGATGTCTCTGCCTTCTTAGACATGAACATTTTTCAGAAAGACATTGACCGTGAAAACTACTACAGCTTCATTCACTTAAGTTTCCATGAGTTTTTTGCTGCCATGTTCTATGTGATGAACACAGAAAAAGAAGGGGAAAAGAACCCCGACTCCTCCATTCCAGATGTCAAAAAACTTCTGGAGAAGTGTAGCCGCTATGAAGCCAGACATGTGATTCTGGCACTACGCTTCCTGTTTGGCTTCCTAAATGCAGAGACAGCAAAGAAGCTGGAGAGAAAGTTCAGATGTAGAATGTCACAGGAAATCAAGTCACGATTACTGCAGTGGATTGAAAGAGAAACCAAAAGAGATATTGAACAACCCTGGTTTTCCACTTCTAATGTACCAAAATGGCATTCTCTTTTATATGAGATTCAAAATGCCGAGTTTGTAACACAGATGCTAGTTAACATCCAAGAAATCACAGTAAATATTCACTACCCCTATGAAGCCCTGAGTGCAATTTACTGCATGAAGCGTTGTCCTGGGGCACAGAGACTTTCCATGTGAGTATCTTCATTTCTTATATCCCGAACCTTTTACTAGATTCTTTGCAGACAGATTGAACTATGGGTCTTTCTTCTGAGGGAGCCCAGTGTTCTTCTTTCAGCTTTGGAAATGTGGCCAGCCCAGATTGTTACCCTGGTTTTTCTTTGGGGACACAGAGTTTTGGGACAAAGAGCCAAGCACCAGGCACTGCTGTGCTTTCCCTTTCCTTGTGCCTTTGTGAAAAACTAAGGTGGTGTTATTTTCCACCATTTGTTTGCAACCCCACTATCAGCAGACCAGATTGAATTAGTGATCTTTAAGTTGTGTTTAGAAGGAAAGAAATCTCTGCATAGGTGATGCTATATATTCATCTATGACAGGAGAAGAAAATGATAAAACCTTGCTGTATCCAAGTGAGATTCATTAAAGGATATTCTGTTCAAGTAATTGAAGTCCTGCAGAGTGGGGAGAAGGACAGGGGACTGGAGAGGAGGTGGTGAGGGTGGCATCATAAGAATTTCCAGGTCTGTATTCAGCAGCTTTCCTTTTTTGTACAGGAAAAAAAATCTCATTTCTGGTGTGTGTTACAGATGCTTCCTCTCTTTTAAGAGCTCTCAGGCAGTGATTTGTTGGGGAGTAAATAGTATTGTAGCACCAGTTCTCTATTTTGGAATCCTTAAGAATGTCTGTGGTTGAGGGGGCAAAGTAGGGAGAAGGGAAGGGAGGAAGAGTAGGCCTCATTCCACATCTCTTAGTGGTAGGAGCCCACTCTTCATGTTCTTGGCTGGATTTTAAGATACTCCCCTTTGCATTCATGTTCCTGGGCTCATAAAGGACAAAGGTGGTGGTGCTTGTTTATGGTAGAATTTCAGATTCACCTTCAGCCTCCTCAGCCAGGCTCCTGATTCTAAAGCCTACCCTAGAGGTGGAGGCAATTTTTTTTTCTTGTTAATTCCAATATTTTCTCCTTAACCTGGGTGCTTTGTAACTTGGCTATGACATTCCTATAAGTTTTCCTCCTGGGATCTCTTTCAGGTGGTGATAGATATGTTTTTTTTTCCCTATTTCTGCTCTGTCTTCTTTTTCTAGAACCTTGGGGCAATTTTCCTTGACAATTTCTTGTAATATTATATCAAGATTCTTTTTTTTAATCACAATTTTCAAGCAATCCAACTATTCTTGTATCATTTCTCCTCAATCTGTTCTCCAGATCAGTTGTTTTTCTGAATATTCTTGCTCCAGTCCTGCCTCAATTACTTCCCATAACTTGGTCTTTGGTCTGTGGAACCTGACCTCAGCTGCCAACTGTAAATGACTAAGATTTTAACCTCAGTTCCTTCCAGGCTTCTCATACCTCCAACTTGAGGGACAAAGTACTGTATCTGGCATTAAGTAATTGCAACTCAAAGACAGGAATGGGGGAGCCATTTAGCTCTGACTCACTCAGCACCCCTAACTTTTCTACCTAATCCAAAAAGAGTTCTTGGAAAAACTTAAAAAAGGACTTTAAAAATCAAATAAGAGAGATCAAGGAAAAATTAGGAAAAAATGAGAGCAATCCAAGAAAATCAAGAAAATTATGAAAAGAAAATTAACAAAACTTGAAATAGAGAATCAGGAACTTAAGAAAGAAAATAATTCCTTGAAAACTAGAATTGGGTAAAGGGAAGCTAATGACATTCTAAAACACCAAGAAATAATAAAACAAAATCAAAAGAATGAAAAAAAAGAAGAGAATGTGAAACATCTCATCAGAAGAACAACTGATCTGGAGAACAGATTGAAGAGAAATAACATTAGAATAGTTGGATTGCCTGAAAATTGTGATAAAAAAGAAACTTGATACAATATTAGAAGAAATTTTCAAGGAAAATTGCTCCGAGTTATAGAAAAAGAAGACAAAGCAGAATAGAAAAAACCCACCTGTCACCACCTGAAAGAGATCCCAGGAGGAAAACTTAAAGGAATATCATAGCCAAGTTCAAAGCTCCCAGGTTAAGGAGAAAATTTTGGAAGCAACAAGGAAAAAATTAAATATTGTGGAGCTACAATAAGGATTACACATTCTCTTCTTTTTTTTTTCATTCTTTTGTGCTTGAGACTATGTGATGTTTCTCATTGAAAAAGGAGTAGCTTTTTTTTAGCTCTATTATCTTCCTCTGAACCCAGATCTTCTCTATCCCCATAGCAGCTATCTATGGTTGGGTTCTTTCTCTTTTGCTTGCTAATTTTAATTTTTTTTTGTTTTATTTTGTTTTTAGCAGCTATTAGTGTAATCAAATTTTAGTTCTGAGGTATGGGGGAATGATGCCCCAAGCTTCAGATCCTTCTTACTTTTATTTTCTGAGGTCTGTCTTGGGCCCAACCTAGGGCTATTCTCTCCACTCCTAAGCCACAGCTAGGGCCCCAGCTGTATTGTCCAGCAAATCATCTTGCTCCCCTTTGATCCCTCTGGTTGCTGCAAACTACAGCTGTCCTCTCTTCCCTAGAACTGAAACCAGGAACTCTGCTCTCCTACAAATGCCCACAGTGAGCAGGGTCCCCCCTCTCTGCTAGCTCTTTTTCCTCCACAGCAACAGCCAGCCCAGAGTGTCTGGTCTCTTTCATCCCTTGACAGTGGAAGGTCCTTCAGTCATCTCCTACTTAGCCATCGGATCCCCACACTGTTCCTATAACAAAAAGTTTCTAAGGCTGAAGCTGCCTCCTAACCCCAGCTGACCCCAGGGCTTGGTTTTTGATTCTGCAGAGTTGGCCTGGAGGTGTTTGCACTTCACTCAGGACATACCTCTGCTCCTGGAGATTGGGTCTTTCCTACGGTCTTCTAAGGTTGTCTTAGGAGAACAACTGTTTTACCCTGACTTTTGTTTATGGTTGCTCTACAGTCCTTCTGAGGCAATGTTCTGTCTTTTTCTGTGGAGGAAATTTGGAGAGCCAAACATTTTCTGACCTACTTCACTATCTTCCCAGAATCCTTTCCTTCTTTTGATGTTTTTTTTTATTCTTTTCTTCCAGATTGTTCTTCATTTTTTTATATATTTGTATTACTATTCAGTTGTTTTCTCTTTTACTTCTTTGGAGAGACTCGTGATTGGATTCAACTTTTTCCTTTCTGCCAATTATTTCTGATGTATAAACCATAAATTCTTCTTTCATAATTCTTATGTCTCTCTTGAAACATTAACATCCTGCTGTTCCCATGCTCTCTTAGGAATCTACAGGGTCTTTTGCCCTAGTAAGTATTAGTTCAATTTCCTTTATTGCAATATCTGTTCAGGCATTTAAGTGTCCTGGTGCTCATCTTCATTTCTGTCTTAATATCTTCTTTATTGTTTTTTTGTTCTATTCAACAAACATTTATTAAAGGTCTGCTGTGTGGAAAACAGAGCTCTCGCTTTCTTAGTCTTTTATTATTGTTATTTTTTCATTATTTATTTATTTTGAGTTTTCAACATTCACTTCCACAAGATTTGGAGTTTCAAATTTTTTCCCCATCACATCCCTCCCCCCACTCCAAGATGGCATGCATTCTGAATACCCCTTCCCCTAGTCTGCCCTCCTTCTGTCTCTCCCCACCCCTTCTCTTATCCCCTTCCCTTTCAATTTTCCTGTAGGGCAGGATAGATTTCTATACCCTATTTCCTATATTTCTTATTTCCCAGTTGCATGTGAAAACAATTTTTTAACATGTGTTTTTAAAACTTTAGGTTCCAAATTTTCTCCCTTCCTTCCTCCCCACCCACCCTCATTGAAAAGGCAAGCAACTCGATATAGGTCATACATGTGTAATCATGCAAAACACTTCCATAGTAATTATGTTGTGAAAAACTAGCTATATTTCCCTTCATCCTATCCTGCCCCCCATTTATTCTATTCTCTCTTTTGACCCTGTTTCTCCTCAGAACTGTTTGCTTCTGATTACCCCCTCCCCTAATCTGCCCTCCCTTCTACCATCCCCCTGCTCTCTTATCCCCTTCCCCTCCCCCAATTTTCCTGCAGGGTGAGATAGATTTCTGTACACAATTGAGTGTGTATGTTAATCCCTCCTTAAGCCATATCCTATGAGAATAAGATTTACTCATTCCTTCTCACTTTCCCTCATTTTCCCTCCACTGTAAAAGCCTTTTCTTGTCTGTTTTATGTGAGATAATTTACCCCATTCTACCTTTCTCTTTCTCCTTCTCCCAGTATAATCCTCTCTCACCCCTTAATTTTATTCTCCAGATATAACCTCTTCATCTTCAACTCACCCTGTGCCCTCTATCTATCTATCTATCTATCTATCTATCTATCTATCTATCTATCTATCTATCTATCTGTCTGTCTGTCTGTCTGTCTGTCTGTCTGTCTATCTATCTATCTATCTACATACATATAAATTTTCCCCTCCAACTACCAAAAGTCTCATGAGTTACAAGTATAATCTTTCCATGAAGGAATGTAAACATTTCAACCTTAATAAGTCTCTCATGATTTCTCTTTCCTCTTTACCTCTTCATTTTTCACTTGAGTCTTGTATTTGAAAGTCAAATTTTCTGTTCAGCTCTGTTCTTTTCATCAAGAATGCTTGAAACTCCCCTATTTCACTGAATGACCATTTTTTCCCCTGAAGGATTATACTCAGTTTTGCTGGGCAGGTGATTCTTGGTTGTAATCCTATCTCCTTTACCTTCTAGAATATTATATTCCATGACCTCCAGTCCCTTAATGTAGAAGCTGCTAAATCTTGTGCTATCCTGATTGTATTTCCACAATACTTGAATTGTTTCTTTCTGGCTGCTTGCAATATTTTCTCCTTGACCTGAGAACTTTGGAATTTGGCTACAATATTCCTAGGAGTTTTCCTTTGAGGATTTCTTTTAGGAGGAGATCCGTGGATTCTTTGAATTTCTATTTAGCCCTCTGGTTCTAAAATATCAGAGTAGTTTTCCTTGATAATTTCCTGAAAGATGATGTCCAGGCTATTTTTTTGATCATGGCTTTCAGATAGTCCAATAATTTTTAAATTATCTCTCCTGTATCTATTTTCCAGGTCAGTTGTTTTTCCAATGAGATATTTCACATTGTTTTCTTTTTTTTTTTTAATTCTTTAGGATTTGTTTTACAGTGTCTTGATTTCTCATAAAGTCACTAGCTTCCAATTGCTCCATTCTAATTTTTAAGGAAGCATTTTCTTCAGTAAGATTTTGGACTTCCTTTTCCATTTGGCCAATTTTGCTTTTTAGGGCATTCTTCTCCTTGTTGGCTTTTTGGACCTCTTTTGCCATTTGAGTTAGTCTATTTTTTAAGTTGTTATTTTCTTCAGTATTTTTTGGGGTCTCCTTTAGCAAGCTGTTGACTTGTTTTTCAGGAATTTCTTGTATCATGCTCATTTCTCTTCCCAATTTTTCTTCTACTTCTCTTACTTGCTTCTCAAAATCCCTTTTGAGCTCTTCCAAGGCCTGGGACTGATTCATATTTTTCTTGGAGGCTTTGGATGTAGGAGCTTTGATTTTGTTGTCTTCTTCTGGTTGTATGTTTTGATCTTCTTTGTTACCAAAGAAAGATTCTGTGGTCTGACTTTTTTACACCTTTATTTGTTCATGATCCCAACCAATTACTTGAGTTTTAAATTCTTTGTTAAGGTAGGGGTCTGCTTCCAGTGTGGAGAATGTACTGTCCCAAGCTTCAGGGGTTTTGTGTAGCTGTTTTAAGAGATACTTCTAGGGACCTGTAAATTTTCAGTTCTTCCTAGGTGGTATGATAAAGGGTGAGGTGTTTACTCCTTTCCTGGCCTGTGCTCTGGTCTGTGAGTGACCACAAGCATTCTTTTCTACCTTGGAACTATGAGGAGGATTTCCTCTCATCACCAATACAAGTTCCACCATACCAGCACTCTTCCTCACCCCAGGACCACCACCCAGAACTGTGACCCAGATCCAAGCACGAGCAAAGCAAGAGAATACTGCACCAGCTAAGAGTTCCCTGCAATCCCCCTCTGATCAGCCACTGAATTCCCCCTCAATCTGTGGGCCAGAAGCTCCAGAAGCAGCTACTGCCCCAGGGCTGAGCTTGGAGACTGGGGCTGGGACCAAGCTTCTCTCTTACTGCAGTCACAGACTTTTCCCACTGACCTTCTAAATCGTCTTTGGCGTTTGTGGGTTGAGAAGCTGGAAACTGCCACAGCTGCCCATGATTCAGTCCTCTGAGGCCTGCTCCAGCTTCACTGAAGCCTGTTTTGCCTTCACACACAAGCCAACCTGTACTCCTCTACCTGCCTTGCACGATATACCTTTCTGATCAATCATCCAGGCTGTCTTGGGCTGTAAATTTGTTTCATTCTGTCTTTTTTGTGGGTCCTGCTGCTTCAGAATTTGTTTAGAGCCAATTTTTTTACAGGTATTTGGAGGGGTTTGGGGAAGAGCTCAAGCAAATCACTGCTTTTACTCTGTCATCTTGGCTCTGCCTCCTTCTTTGTTGTTTTAACTGCTCATGCTTAAGGTTTCTGAGTTTTCTTTCTCTTAAGATCTTTAGTTTCATTCTTCTGTTCTTATATTCACCCATCACATCACCCATTTCATTTATTAGCTGTCTACTCTTGTTGTTTGTCCTTCATTCTCAAAGAGGACCATGAGATAGGGAGGTGATGCCATGACATGCAAGTGAATTGGATTTAAGTGAGGGAAGGCTGTGCAAAGTCAACAGCCTCACTTTTTTGTCCAGAGCCATCTGGGTCCAGTGATAAGATTTAGATCAGGATGACTAGAGATAATCCTGGATGCAGTGGGAGACATTGGCCTTTTTAAGCTAAGATCTTTAACAGGTCTCAATTTGACTGAGGCAATGCCCAATCAGTGATTAAGGCTAGAAACAGGTAGAGAATGGCCTCTTTTACCTAGTCAAAAAAAATCTATCTGGGAGATGAAAACCCTTGGGGTTTCTGGCCAAAACAGAAATAGTTGTTATTTACATAGATTCTGAGCAAATTAGGACCCAAATAGTGACCAAGTGGGGCTTGGCCTGAGATCTATTGTTGGCCAGTCAATGAAGAAAGAGTGATTTGTGTTTAAGGCATGGTCTTTAAGAAAGGAATATGGCCCCTATGTTGTTCGGGGCTATATTTCATCAGTGAGGAAAATTTATATTCGTTTGGGCAGAGCACCCAGAAGTCAGGGTATGATACCCTATGTGGACAGAGGGAAGGGAAGGGAAAGAAGAAAGAAAAGGAAAAAGAGAAAGAAAAAAAGAAGAAAAGAAAGAAAGGAAGGAATTGTGTTCCCCAATTGGCCAGTTCCAGTTGGGTGCCCAATGGGACAGCTCCTATTAGTACTCACAGAGGTTGTTTGTCCTTTGTTCTCAGAGAGGACCATGATATTAAGGAGTTGATACTATGACATGCAAATGAATTGGATTTAAGTGAGGGAGGGCTGTGCAAAATCACCAGCCTCATTTTCTCCTCCAGAGCCATCTGCATCCAGTGGCAAGATATAGATCAGTACAACTGGAGATGGCTTCTGACAGTAGCTGTATGACCTTGGGCAGATGTCATATCCTTCATATACCTTAAGAAATTCCCTAGGATTTATATGCTAAGTAATAAACAATAGTGATGTGTATATGTGTGTGTGTGTGTATATATATATATATATATATATATATATATATATATATATATATATATATATATATATTGATGGGGGCATTTCTCCTTAGCTGATAAAATTACAGATTTTTCAGTCCAGTCTTTGCAGAAGGGGAAACTGAGGTTCAGAGAAATTAAGTAATTTTTTTCCAAGCTCACACAGTAAGTAGCGGAGTTTAAATTTGAACTCAGGTCTTAGGACTCCAAATTCTTGCTCTTTCAACTATGATAACTAAATAGGTGAGATGGAATCTGTCTCTTGATAACCTCATCAATAATCATGGATTCAGTTTCCACCTCTATAGAGCTAATGTCTAGATCAATCTCTTTAACCTTCATCTTTTTCCTGAGATCTAGTACCCCATCATCTACTGTTTATTGTATCTTACATTGCATATCTTATTGTCTCAAAGTCAGCATATTCAAAACAGAATTATCTCTTCCCTAAAGGACTCTTCCCTTTTAAACTCCCCTGTTGCTATCAAAGATATCATAGTCTCTCCCCGACAATTGCTATAAGTTGCTATAGGACCTTTTCATTTTTTCATACAGACAAATAGGCACAAACAATATTTATAGGCAAGTTTAATGCCATTGATACCCACAATAAAATTCTCCTCTAATTTCCTTCTCTAGTTCTTATAGATCTGATTTACCTGCTTCTGTATGGGAAGATCTCTTCTCTGTGGTCAGCAAGAATCAGAACCTGAAAGAGCTCAAGATGTCCTCATTTAAATTTTCTGATTCATGTATGGCAAAGCTTTGTGTGCTACTAAAAGATCCAACCTGTAAACTGGAAAAACTGACGTAAGTCTAAGCTGGTCCCATAGCTGGGATGGTGGCCTATATGGGAGTGGGGAAAGTGAGGTAAAGAACTGAGGAAGATGTGAAAAATAAGGTCTTAGGAGAAAAAGAGAGGATAATCCAGAATCTAAATGAGTCGAAAGGTAGCACAGTGAAAAGAAAAATGAGGACGATGAAAGAGGAAAAGGGACATATGGTCCTTTTCACCACAATTATTTAATATTATACTAGAAGTACTAGTTACAACATTAAGAATAGAAAATGAAATTAAAGATACACATCTTAGCAAAGAGAAGACATATTATCTCTATTTACAGATGACATGATGGTATACCAAGAAAACCCCAGAGAATCTGTGAAGAAACTAATTGATAATAAGATCATAGATTTAGAGCTGGAAAGGACTTTGGAGGCCATCTAGTTCGACCCTCTGATTTTACGGATGAAAAAATCAGGCTCATTGATATTAAGTGACTTACCCAAGTTCATACAGGTAAAATTTAAACCAAGGTCATCTGACTCCAAATCCAGTATACTTTCTACTGCAGCATCAATAAGATTGCAGAGAACAAAATTTATACCCCTACACATAATGAACAAGTCATGCATATCTGTAAAGTATGAACAAAAACAACGAAGAAACAATGATAAAAGATCTATGTATCCAACTTCATTCTCTCTCTTGAGCTTTTGCCCTACATCACCAATTAATTGTTGGGCATCTCAGATTCAACATGTATAGATAGGCCACTGGACTTGGAGTCAAGAGAATCTGGGTTCAGTTTTTGCCTGAAAGAGAACCCTGGACAAGTCAGTCAACTTTCATGTGCCTCAGTTTCCTCATCTATATAATGAAGGGGATGCCAATGTTTCTTCCTGTTCTAAATTTGCCGAATTCATTAATCTCCTCTCCTGGTACTCACTCCTCTTCCCGGAGTCCCCTTTTCTGTTAAGGAAACCACCATTCTTCCAGGTATGCAGATTTGCAAACTTAAGGTTATCCTCAGTTTTTCATTCTTCCTCAACCCTTTTATATAATCAATTACTAGGTCTTATTGATTCTACTTCCATGACATCTCTTACATCCCTCCACTCTTTTCCACCCACATGTCTACAATCCTTATTCAAGCTCTTTTATCACCTCTCACTTCAATTATTGAAATTGCCTCCAAGTTGGTCTCTCTGCCTTGTGTATGTTTGTGTGCATGCATAGGTGTATATGCATATGTCTATATAAGTCTATCTATGTATAGAAGATATATATATATATGTATGTGTGTATGTACATAATAGTATCATAAAATATTCTACCTAAAATGTATGTATATATCCATATATATACATAAATGTGTGTATATTCCTATATATACATATCAATCTCCATATATACATGCATGTGTATGTGTGTGTGTGTGTGTGTGTATATATATATATATATATACATATATATATACACACACACACATGCATACTTTAGATGTTTTTTGCTTTTTGTAATTTGAATGAAATTTTGATCAATCAACAAGCATATATGAAACATCTGCTTTGTACCAGGCATTATACAAGGTGCTGGAGATAACATGACAAGAATGAAAGAGTCTGTGCCCTTAAAGACCTTATTTACTATCTATCTAAAATTTACATAGGTATAGATAGACTATAAGGCCTTTAAGGGCAGGGACTGTTTCATTTTTGTTTTTGTATCCCTAGCATTTAGCACAATGCCTGGTTCTTAATGAAGGCTTGTTGACTGGTCAAAATCCATTCAAAATGACAAAAGCAAAAAAGATCTGGGAGTTAATCAATGAGATACACACAAGGTTTATATAAATAGAATTTTTTTTTACAAAAATAAAGTGAGACATAAAGAATTGGAGAGAGATTAAAATGGCAATGCTCTTTTGATTTATGAGTTTGTTATGCCAATCAAGTTACCAATGAAGTATTTTGTAGAATCAGATAAAATAATAACAAAATTCATTTGGATAATCAAAACGTCCAGTCTCAAGGGAAATAATGAGAAATGTATAAATACAGGGCACTACCAGATCTCAAACTCTATTATAAGGCAGTAGACATCAAATCTATTTGGTAGTGGTTAAATCAGAAGAGTAGATAAAAAAAGAGCCAAGATAAAGAAGAAACAGAAACCTTTGAAAACATTATCCCACTGTTGGATAAACCCAAGAATGTAATTTACTGGGGGAGGGATTCCCTTTTCAACAAGTCCAGCCATGAAAACTAGAAAGCAGTTTGGTAGAAATTCAGTTTTGATTCTCATACCATGTACCATAGTAAGCTCAAAATAGATTAGGTGAACTAAATATAAAAATTCACACCATAAAAATAATTAGATGAGAACAAGATCAGGTACCTTTTATAACTATAAGTAAGGGAAATTTCTTAAATAAGAGAGAAAAAAGATCATAAAATATGAAACAGACAACACTGACCATATAGTTCACTTCTACTCCCTCCCCAACCCTCTGGAAAATTGTGTTCTACTCCTGGAACTCTCCTTGACATGGATAGGCCAGCTCTGGCCTTATTTTGTTTTGTACCACACAAGGCCTACACAACACTTCTCACACATCTCCACCTATGTTGCACACCCCTCCCCAGCTAATTGTCTTCCAACTCTTTCCCTCTTTCTATCCCTCCTTTATGTGTTGTTTTTCCCTATTAAAATGTAGGATCCTTTGAAGAAAGTGAGTAGTGTTTTTTTTATTTGTATCCTTAGCACTTTGCAGAGTTCTGGCCACCTAGTAAGTCCTTAAATATTTTACTCTATCTCTCTACCTATGTATCAAAATGAAAGGAAGAAAAAAGTTATAGAATATATTTCATAAACATCAATGATAAATATCTGATACCCTAAATGTATCTGTAATTAACACAAGAGATAATATGAGTCAATAGATAGGAACAAAAGAATGGCAGAGAATAAATGGCCACATGAAAATGTAATCCAAATCTAATAGTAAGATAAATATAAATTAAAATTACTCAGGTCTTATTTTTACTATACTACTTGGCAAAGATGACAAAAAATGACAACAGTCAATCTTGGAGATTCTTTGTGAATATAGGAACATTAGTACTCTGTTAGCAGGATGGTCAATTTGTCCAGCTATCCGTGGTTGAGCTAAAAAATTAAAAATCATCCACGTCTAGTAGAAATCATTTTGCTCAATTATATGCTGATAAACTGATCATTTAGAGGTAACACAGGAATATTTTCAAAAATATAAAATGTCCACATTAACAAAAAAAGAAGTAAGCTATTTCAATAACCCATTATTAGTTAAAAAGAAATTCCACAAGCCATAAATGAGCTTCCAAAGTAAAACTAAACTGTATGACCAGATGGATAAGCAAGTGAATTTCAGCAATCATTCAGAGAACAATAAATTCTAATAATACACAAGTTTTCAATAATAAGAAAAGGCAACCTTCCAATCTCTTTCTTAATAGAAATAAAGTCTTGATAACTAAACCAGAGAGAAACAAACCAGAGAAAGTAATCTAAAGACCACTAACCCTAATGAACACAGAAAGAAAAATAATAAATAAAATATTATTCAGAAGCCTATAACAATATGTTATATGATCATACATAATGACCAGGGTTGGTTCAACATGTGGAAGACTATAAATATAATAGGCCATGTTAATAATAGAAATAGTAAAAATCATATGATAATATCAATAGATGCTGAAAACCTTTTAAGTAAATCAAGTAATCCTTTTTTAATCCAAAATTCTAGAAATAATAGGCATCAATGGACTTTTTCTTAATATAGCAAACTGCCTTTGAATCAAAGAACAAACCCTTTATACAATAGAGATTCCTTTCCAGTAAGATCAGGGGCAAAACAAGATTGTCCATTACCACTACTGCTATTTCACATAGTGTTGGAAATGCTAGCTAGAGCAATAAGAAAAAAAAAACTAGAGAGAATGAGCATAGGCAGTGAGAAAGCAAAATTACACCTTTTACAGATGATATGATGATGTACTTGTAGAACTCTGGAGAGTCAAAAATTAATTGAAATAATAACTTCAGCAAAGTTGCAGGATATGATAAAATTACAAAAATTATCATTCCTCTGTATAACCAACAAAATACGCAGGAAGAGCTAAAAAGAAAGTGTGTTCAGATAACTATAGAAGCTATAAAATATTTGAGAGTATATCTACCATGATCCACCAAGAGACCCTATTAATCTCACTATAAAATACTCTTTGTTGAAATAATGGCAGACCTAAATAATTGGAGAAATACTGATATTTCTCATTGGTGGGTCAGACCAATATATAAAAAATGACAATACTACCTAAATTAATCTTATTATTCAGTGCTATGCAATTTAAATTCTGAAAAGAATATTTTTAGAGATGTAGAAAAAATAATAAAATTCATAAGGAAGATCAAAAGATTGAGAATATTGTAGGTAACAGTGAAAAAAAGTGGGAAGGAAGGTGTATATTAGGGTCATATCTTGAATGGTATCACAAAGCAGTGTAAACCAGTTTGCCCCACCCCTAAACCAGCTTGAGTCCCCTCTTACCTGAGAAAGGCCTAAAACCTGGATTGGCCAATCACAAGAAAGACATTGTTGGCTTAATGTGGACTTAACCTTCTATAATTATCAATCAGTGTAACAGATCAGGTATGCAACATGGTTGTTGTGGTTTGTCCTTCATTTTCAGGAAAGTGATTATTTGACTTTATGTGAATTAGATTTAAGTGAGGGAGGACAGTGCAAAGTCACCAGCCTCATTTCTCCTCTAGAACCATCTGGGTCCAGTGGCCAGATATACATCATAACAACTGGAGATGGCTCAGGATGTAGTAGGGGACCTTGGCCTTTTCAAACTAAGGTCTTTAACAAGTTTGTTTGACTGAGGCAATGCCCATTCTTTCTAGGATGTATTGCTGGCAAATTAGTGAGAGCCAGAGTGATTTGAGTTTAAGTCATGGTCCTTAAGAAAGAAATGTAGCCTGTAAAACCCAAGATACCTTGCAAGGTTTCAGGGATCAACATTTACATTCGTTTGGGCAGAGCACCCACAGGTAAGGGTATGATACCCTATGTGGAGCGATGGAAGGGAGAGAAAGAAAAAAAGAAATGAAGGAAGGAAGGAAAGAAAGAAAAAAGAAAGAAAGGCCATGTTGCCCAAATGACCAGTTCCAGTTTGGTGCCTGATGGGCACCTTCTTTTTTTGTTTGTCCTTTATTCTCAAAGAGGACCATGCCATCAGGGAGGTGATGCCATGGCTTGCATGTGAATTGGATTTAAGTGAGAGAGGGCTGTGCAAAATCACCAGCCTCACTTTCTCCTCCAAAGTTATCTGGATCCCATGTCCAGATATAGATCAGGACAACTAGAGAAGGCCCTGGATGCAGTAGGGGACCATGGCCTTTTCAAGGTAAGGTCTTTAATAGGTCTCAGCTTGACTGAGGCAATGCCCATTTAGTTATTAAGACTTACTAAGAAATGAGGCAGAGAATGACCTCTTTACCTAGTAAAAAAAAATCCACTTGGGAGGGGAAGACCCTCAGGGTTTCTGACCAAACCAGAAACAACTGCTATTTATATAGCAGTAAAGCCAATCTGACTATACTCTGAGCCAATCTGGGCCCAAACAATGAGCAAGTCGGGCTTGGCCTGGGCCCTATTGTTGGCCAGTAAATGAGAGTAGGACTGGTTTGCGGTTATGGCTGGTTTTTAAGAAAGAATAAAACAAAACAAAACAAAATGAAAAAAGGTTTCGAAGATTAAAATTGACATTCCCTTTGGGCAGAACACCTGCAGATGAGGGTGTAATACCCTATGTAGACAGAGGGAAGGAAGGAAGGAAGGAAGGATGAATGTATGGATGTATGGATGGATGTGTTGCCCAATTGGCTAGTTACAGTTTGGTCCCCAGTGGACTTTTTCTACTCACTGAGGTTGTTTGTCCTTTGTTCTCTAAGAGGACCATGACACGTATACAACATAAAGAAGCAAACTAACACAAGACAGTACTGTTTGATAAGTAACTCAAAAAACTTTAGTTGCTTGGGAGAAGGGCTCACTGTTTGAAAAAAAAAACAAACTGCCAGGAAACTGCATAGCAATCCAGTGGTAGAAATTAGGTTTAGACCAAAACAACACACCATATGCCAGGATAAGCTACATGTGGATATATAACCTCGATATAAATGTTCACATCCTAAATTAGAGGAGTAAAGAAAAAATTACCTTTCAGATCTATGGGGAGATTAAAAGTTCATGACCAAAAAAGTAAGAGGGGATCACACAAGGAAAATTTGACAGTTTTAATTATCTAAAATTCAAAAGCATATATGTAATATAGTAAAAATTTCAAAGGCAAAGAGGTAACTGGAAAAAATTTTTTTTGCATTAAGTTTCTCTGATAAAGTTCCTATGCTCATAACATATAAGGAATTGCTTCAAATTTATATCACTAAAAGCTATTCCCCAATGAATAAATGGTAAAGGACATGAACAAGGAGTTTTTCAAAAGAAGAAACTTAACAACATTAATGAAAAAATGGTTAAAATGAGTGAAAGTGAAAAATGAAAAATGAGTGCAAGAATACTATAAATCACAAATAATTAGAAAAATGAAAGTTAAAGCAACTTTGAGGCTCTACCTTACACCTATCAGACTGGCAAAGATGACAGAAGAAGAAAATGACAAATGTTGTAGGGGCTGTGGGAAAACAGGTACACCAGAGTGCCTTTGGAGGACCTGTGATTAGTCCTGTCATTCTGGAAAACATTCTGGAACCATGCGCAGAAAGACCCTTAAATGTGCACAGTCTTTGACTCACCTGTACTACTACTGGGACTATACTCCAAAAAAATTCATAGAAAAAGAAAAGGGATCTACGTATCCAAAAATATTTATAGCAGCTCTTTTTGTGCCAGCTAAAAATTGGAAATTAAGGTGTCCTCCAATTGGGAAATGGCTAAACAAATTGTACTATATGAATCTGACAGAATTCTACTGTGACATAACAAATGATGAAATGGATAGTTTCAGAGGTAACTGGGAAGTCCTTTATGAACTAATGAAAAGCAAAGTGAGTAGAACTAGGAGAAGAGTTTATACAATGGTGACATTATAGAGAAAAACAACTGAACCATGAGTCCAAGAGAAATATGCCCCTTACCTCCTGATGGAGAAGTGATTAGCATAAAATGCAGAAAGAAACATACATTTTTGGATATAGCCAATGCAATCATTTGAATAACATTAATATTCCACATTTTGTCAGGATGTGCAGCTATGTATTAAGGGCATCAGTGGGATGGGAATTACTTTTTCCTTTGCTCACTTGGTTGGGGCCAAGGGGCATAGTGGAAGCAGCAGCTAAATAAAGGAGATAGCCGGAAATTAAGAAGTAGGTAAAGAAATTTTCACATATATACATAAAAGAATATGACTTCATATATCAAATGATGACTAAAGACTACATAGAAACATGTGAAGAATTAACTAAAGTAATACAGAAGAAAGTAGACAAAGCAGGAAAACGACATATACATTGACTTCAACAACCTAAGTGGAAGGAAATAAGAAAAATAAAAACTGAATGCTGTGATATTATAATGATCAAATATTGCTTGAAATAAGGGATATAAGAATATACTTCCCTCTCTTCATTTTGAAGGAAGGAGGATTGCAGATGTGTAATGCTGCATGTAAACCAGATTTACTTCATATGTTGGCTGGTTTTGCTGAAATGATTTTTCCCCCCTCTTTTTTATTTTTAGTTATAAGGAATAGCTTTAGGAGCAGTAGATGGGAATCTATATCTATATCTATATCATCTATATCTATATCTATATCTATATCTATATCTATATCTATATCTATATCTATATCTATATCTATATCTATATCTATATACCTATATATATCTATATATCTATATCTATATATATAAAAGAATTAGGTATGTCCAGTCTGGCACAATGCCACAGTGGTGAAATGCCAAAGATATTAAATGTTCTTGTCAAGAAAGAGGAGTTAAAATGATTCTTTTCTCTCTTATTATTCCTTATAATTCCTAATCAGCATCATTATCTTTCTCATTTTCTTCACCTTCATGTGACACATTGTTGACCCAATATAACACAGGCTTGAGGATCAGAATAAGAGGAATGGGCTGGTAGATTAGATTAGGAAGGGGCAGTTTTAAAGGAAATTGAACTATTTAGCCTGGAATGGGAATGTCAGAGGATAGTGGCTATAAAGAAATGGTGGCTCTGAGCTCCTTTCCAGAAAGAGAAGAAAGAAGTTAATCCTGAACAAATGATTCATTTAACCTCTGGCTGTATGTCTCCTGCAGGTTGGAAGGCTGCAAGGTAACTTATTCGTTTTGTCGGTACCTTTTCTCTGCTTCCTGTCTGAAAAGCCTGCACTTCAGTAATATTTCCTTTGTGGATGATGGCAGGAAGCTGTCATCTAAGACCTTGGGGCAAGGGAACTGTCAACTACAGACACTAAGGTGAGTTTCCATAGATGTCTTCTCTTCAGAGCCTCCTAAGCAATAGAGCCATAAGGTTAAAGTAAGCAGGAAGAACAACACTGATTTGGGGAAGGTGACTGCAAGTTGCCTGTCTGAGATCAGGGCTTTACCCACTTTTATTCTAGGGAAATTTGCACGATAGATCCTTCTCTTCATCTGGCTTTTGAGGACGGTTTATTCAGGGAAGTGCCCCCTTCACTCTGATATACTATTGAAATTTCTCTGACCTTCCCTTGATATAACTTCATGAATTGATTAAAGTTCCCCCTTATGTTGTCTTCCTCCTATGTTTATGCTTGAGGAAGTTTGTTCTAGTGTGAGATGGAAGAATTGCACTGATAGGCAATAATGAGGGAAAATAACCAATATTTCAGTGAATAAATATTATTTAAAGGGTCCTTTTTTTATGGAGGACGAGTTTCTTTCATACTCCTTCACCTCATCTTTCCATCTTTACAATATGCAAAATCAGTGCCTGCTTAGCCTACTATTTTCATAGCCCTCTGGTAGATCTGGGTCAGTGCCACCAAGGAGAGCAAAAGCAGGTTTGTCATCACCATTGATACAGTAGCTCTTGTCTCAGTTGAAGAGTTACTGGAGGTGGGGGAGGTGTTGAGGCATCATGATACTGGCTCCAACCTGTGAAGAGGCAGAGATAGATAGCAAGGTCAGGGAGAAGTTAGTCATCTCCTTTGGCTAGAGCTCAGAGAGTGAATGGACCAGGGTAAAATAGAGAAGGACCATCCCCGCCACCATTGTAGATACTATTTCTCTCTCAATACCTTTTTGGCTTCTATGTCACAAAATTGACTTATATTGAGTTTATTGTTCACACACACACACACACACACACACACACACACATCATCATTCTGTACTTACACAGTTGATTTTTTTTAACCCTGTTTAATAATATCTTCTAGAATTTTGTTTGGAATCCAGTTGAAGCTTCCTGGCCTCTTACTTGAAGAATACACCTTCTCCCCCTTCTGAATACTGAGACATTTGTCTCTCTTTAGTTCTGTGGCAATTCTTCTGTTCTTCCATGTCATTTCTAAATTTACTAACAGCTGATCCACCCATTAATTTGTTCCTTAAATTTCTCTTTCTTCTCCTGTTGCTAAAGCTAACATTTCTAGTACAATATTGAATAACAGTGGTAATAACAGACATCCTTGTTTCACCTCTGATCTAATTGGAAATGCTTCTAGCTTGTCCCCATTATATGTAATGCTTGCTGATGGTTTTAGATAGAGGATATCATTTTAAGGAAGACTCCATTTATTCCTATGCTCTCTAGTGTGTTTAATAGGAATGGGTGTTGTACTTTGTCAAAAGCTTTTTCTACATCTATTGAGACAATCATATGATTTCTGCTAGTTTTGCTGTTGATATGGTCAATTATGCTGGTAGTTTTCCTAATATTGAACCAGCCTTGTATCCCTGGTGTAAATAATACCTAGTCACAGTGTATTATTCTCAAGATAAGTTGCTGTGATCTCTTTGCTAATATTTTATTTAAAATTTTTGCATCTATATTGATTAGGGAAATTGGTCTATAATCTTCCTCTGTTTTGGCTCTTTCTGGTTTAAGTATCAGCACCATATTTGTATCATAAAAAGAATTTGGTAGGACTCCTTCTTTACCTAATTTTTTTATTGTTCTCAGGGTTTTATTTTTGTCTATGTTTTCTTTTTTAATATAAATTTATTTATTTTTAGTTTTCAATATTCACTTCCACAAGTTTTTGAGTTCCAAATTTCTCACCCCTTCCCCCACCCCAAGATGGCATGCATTCTGAATACCTCTTCCCCTGGTCTGTCTCTCTTCTATCTCTCCCCCTCCTTCTCTTATCCCCTTCCCCTTCTATTTTCCTGTAGAGCAGGATAGACTTCTGTACCCCCATTTCCTGTATTTCTTATTTCCCAGTTGCATGTGAAAACATTTTTTTTAAAACATGTGTTTTTAAAACTTTGAGTTCCAAATTTTCCCCCTTCCTTCCTCCCCACCCACCCTCATTGAAAAGGCAAGCAACTCAATATAGGTTGTACATATGCAGTTATGCAAAACACTTCCATAGTAGACATGTTGTGAAAAACTAACTCTATTTCCCTTAATCCTATCCTGCCCTCCCATTTATTCTATTCTTTCTTTTGACCCTGTCCCTCCTCAGAAGTATTTGCTTCTGATTACCCCTTTCCCAATCTGCCCTCCTCTCTATCATCCCCCTGCTCTCTTGTCCCCTTCTCCCCCTATTTTCCTGTAGGGTAAGACAGATTTCCATACCCAATTGAATGTGTATGTTATTCCCTCCTTAAGCCAAATCCTATGAGAATAAGATTCCTCATTCCCTCTCACCTTCCCCTGTTTCCCCTCCACTGTGAGAGACTTTTCTTTTCTGTTTTTTTTTTGTGAGATAATTTACCCCATTCTACCTCTCCCTTTCTTCTCCAAGTATCATCCTCTCTCATCCCTTAATTTTATTCTCCAGATATGACCCCTTAATCTTCAACTCACCCTGTGCCCTCTATCTATCTATCTACATATACATACATACAATTTTTTTCCTCCAACTACCCTAATACTGACAAAGTTCTCATGAGTTACAAATATCATCTTTCCATGCAGGAATGTAAACAGTTCAATCTTAATAAGTCTCTTATGATTTCTCTTTCCTGTTTACCTCTTCATGTTCCACTGAGTCCTGTATTTGAAAGTCAGATTTTCTGTTTAGCTCTGGTCTTTTCATCAGGAATGCTTGAAAGTCCTCTATTTCACTGAATGACCATTTTTCCCCTGAAGGATTATACTCAGTTTTGCTGGGTAGGTGATTCTTGGTTGTAATCCTATCTCCTTTGCCCTCCGGAATATTATATTCCATGCCCTGCGGTCCTTTAATGTAGAAGCTGCTAAATCTTGTGTTATCCTGATTGTGTTTCCACAGTACTTGAATTGTTTCCTTCTGGCAGCTTGTAATATTTTCTCCTTGACCTGGGAACTCTGGAATTTGGCTACAATATTCCTAGGAGTTTTCCTTTGGGGATCTCTTTCAGGAGGAGATCTGTGGATTCTTTCAATTTCTATTTTGCCCTCTGGTTCTACTATATCAGGGCAGTTTTCCTTGATAATTTCTTGAAAGATGATGTCTAGGCTCTTTTTTTGATCATGGCTTTCAGATAGTCCAATAATTTTTAAATTCTCTCTCCTGGATCTATTTTCCAGGTCAGTTGTTTTTCCAATGAGATATTTCACATTGTTTTCTAATTTTTCATTCTTTTGGATTTGTTTTACAGTGTCTTGATTTCTCATAAAGTCACTAGCTTCCAATTGCTCTATTCTAATTTTTAAGGAAGTATTTTCTTCAGTAATCTTTTGGACTTCCTTTTCCATTTGGCCAATTTTTCTTTTTAGGGCATTTTTCTCCTCATTGGCTTTTTGGACCTCTTTTGCCATTTGGGTTAGGCTGTTTTTTAAGGTGTTATTTTCTTCAGTATTTTTTTGGGTCTCCTTTAGCAAGCTGTTGACTTGTTTTTCATGATTTTCTTGCATCACTCTCATTTCTCTTCCCAGTTTTTCCTCTACTTCCCTTACTTGCTTCTCAAAATCCCTTTTGAGCTCTTCCAAGGCCTGGGACTGATTCATATTTTTCTTGGAGGCTTTGGATGTAGGAGCTTTGACTTTGTTGTCTTCTTCTGGTTGTATATTTTGATCTTCTTTTTCACCAAAGTAAGATAATATAGTCTGACTCTTTTTGCGCTGCTTGCTCATGATCCCAGCCAATTACTTGAGTTTTGAACTCTTTGTTAAGGTAAGAGTCTGCTTCCAATGTGGAGAATGTACTGTCCCAAGCTTCAGGGGTTTGTGTAGCTGTTTTCAGAGATACTTGTAGGGACCTGTAAATTTTCAGTTCTTCCAAGGTGGTATGATAAGGGGCGAGGTGTTTACTCCTTTCCTCCTGCCTGTGACCACAAGTATTCCTTTCTGTCCATAACTGTGAGGAGGTTCCTCTCACAGCCACTACAAGCTCCACCATGCAAACCCAGAGCTCCTCCTCACCCCAGACCCCTGCAGAACTGTGACCCAGATCCACACAGGCAAAGCAAGAGATTCGTGCCTCAGCACCGTCAAAGAGATCCCTGCAGTCCCTCTCTGATCAGCCACTGGATTCCCCCTCAGTCTGTGGGCCAGAAGCTCGGGAAGCAGCTGCCCCCCCCCCCGGCCAGGCTGTTGGGGAATGGAGCTGAAACCCAGCCTTCCTCTCCGACCACCGACAGAAAAAGACTTTTCCCACTGACCTTCTAAGTTGTCTTTGGCATCAGTGGATTGAGGAGTCTGGAAACGTCCACAGCTGCCCTTGATTCAGTCCTCTGAGGCCTGCTCCAGGTTTGCTGTGGCCTGCCTGCCCACGCCGCGCTGTGCTGTGCTCCCAGCCCAGCGCGATATACCTTTCTGATCAATTATCCAGGTTGTCTTGGGCTGGAAATTTGTTTCACTCTGTCTTTTTGTGGGTTCTGCTGCTTCAGAATTTGTTTAGAGCCATTTTTTATAAGTGTTTGGAGGGGTTTGGGGGAGAGCTCAAGCAAGTCACTGCTTTCACTCTGCCATCTTGGCTCCACCCCCCCATTTTTTTCAATGAACAAAAATTAATCTTCTCTCCCTCCCACTTTTCATTGCTTCATTTCAAAAGAAAGAAAAATAAAATTCAGGTAACAAATATGTGCAGTCAAGAAAGCCAAAGAAATTGATTTTTATATATCAATATATTGAAATATTTTGTATGTGTATATATACACAATGTACATATACATGTATGTATGTATGTATGTATGTGTGTGTATATTTATACACCAATTTTTACCCTTAGTAGTCTATGAAATCTCTGTCATGTGGGGTAGGTAGCATGTTTCAACATGAGTCCTCTGGAATTAGGTTGGTTGTTGTTTTAATGACAATGCTTATGTCTTTTAATGTTTTTTTT